ACACCACATTTAAATTCAGTGATGAGGAAAAAGCGAGGAAGAAGTCCACCTGGAAGCATTTTCTTTTGATCTGAATGAATTCGTGTATAACAAATTGTACTGGGCATGTCGTGGACATCCACGAAAAGCTAGCAAAAAAAAAAAAAAATAGTGAGCGCCCTTGTATTAGCACGCCTACAGACTATGAAGTTTAAGTATGTAGATGACATATGTGTAGAGATATAGCTCCAAATGTTTTACGTGAAAAATACGGTCAGTAACGCATTGGAAAACACGTCACGATTCAAATTATTCCAAAACGATGGAACTGTTTGGCTTGACTTCCTTCTGATTCATGTCGTTTACGAAAATCGGCTCCATTCGCAACAAACAAAAGCTAATTAGACAAGTACTCGTACTTTGGAACCGCTCGCTAGTTTGCCCTGGCTTTTGGCTGTCTGGGAAAATGACATAGTTAGAGAAGTGGAAAACACTCGCGCCGATTTTCCAGGGAAGCGCAGCTTTAATTTCTTTCTCGAAGGATTAGTAGCAATCAGCCATCCTGCTTGATATAATTCTAGAAAGAGCGGCAATTTTATAATTTTGGAGTGATCAGTAATTTTCGCCCTTAAAAGATGAGAAAAAAATAATAAACAGATTTTAGTATACCTCTCCAAGAGTTATGACATCTCTGAACACACCAACAACTCAAGTCCAACGGATGAGAAATAAACCCAGGCTGGAACGCACAGGGTGGGCCGGTGCGAATATGTGTTTTTGCACCGGACTTTAATTACTCAAGTCATTAACTGCATGAATGGCTGTTGCTTTGCATCTATCTTTTGCGGTCACTAGCATAAATCACCATAAATTTTGCAAAGTAATGTATAATTCCCATTTAACAATCGTTCTTTAAAAGTAACCTAGTTGTTCAGTGAGAATTTTTTTCGTCAAGACTTTTAAATGCCCGTACGCAGGACCACGCATAACTCAAGGTTGAATTTGAAATACTTAAGTTGTGCTTAGACAGGGAACTTCACCCTAAAACTTCAACTTTCTAGCTTTTCTGGTTCCCGAGTTAAAATTTTCCCGCAAAAACTTTCTTACGCCCTTACGTGAGTACAACACATAGCTTTGGGCTGAATGCGAAACGTTTGTGTCGTACTTGGACAGGGAACATTACCTCAAAATTTCAGCCTTCCAGCTTTTCTGGTTACCGAGTTAACAGTTTTCCCGCCAAAACCATCACACACCGGTACTTGGTACTCCACGTGCTTGGAAAGCTGAATTTGTAATTTTTAAATTGCACTATGCACAGGGAACATCGGCCTAAAATTTCATCCTTCCAGCTCTTCTGGTGCCGAGTTAGTAATTTTCCTGCGGAAACTTTCATATGCCCTTACGTGGCTACCATGCATAGATTGGGGCTGAATTTCAAATATTTGACTTGTACTTCGATAGGGAAGGCTCCTCCAAAATTTCAACTTTCTAGCTTTCCTGGTACCAGAGTTAGCAATTCCCCCCCCCCCTAAAACATTTCATTCGCCCTTACGTGAGAATCACGCATACCTTGGGGCTGAATTTGAAATCTTTAGCAAGTATATGCACAAGGAATATCTCTACAAAGTTTCAGCCCCTTAGCTCATGTGGTTCCCGAGATCGCTTTCCCGTCAAAAAATTTGCATATTTTTTTGAAACGTCCGTACGGGGCACCCAGGCGATTGAGGGGAATGAAATTAAAACGGGAGGGAAGCGCATGGTATAGGCACATATCTCCAAAGTTTCAGCTTTCTAGCTTTTCTGGGTCTCGACTTGAAAGTGGGTGACAAAAAGTGCAAACACACAGCCACACACTCTCACATATACACGCATACACACACACACACACACACACACAGACAGCCTCTTCCCAATATGCGCTTTTGCAATTTACATATATGCAAAAACGCATAAAAAGGGAACGAACCATCGGCTTGTACCGGCGTTTTTGTTTTGACGTGTTCCAGAATTAGTCCTGTTAACGAACTCATTTTAAGCTGAAATTTCATTTCTTTTTTTTTTCTATATTTCAAAAAATCAAAGGTTCTCTGGCAGGAGTATTTTAAAAAAAGCGGAAATTTTCAACAAACATTTCTCAGGCTCCATTTTCCATCAGAGAGCGTTAACAGGATGTGCCTGATACGGCCCTTATTCATTACTGATACTGCCAAGCGTGTTTTGCCGCCAACCTACATGCGTTCACATCATTCACTGCGATTCCTTATTTTTTTTTTCTTTTTTTTTTTACAAAACTCACTGGGCTTTTTCAGTTCGGATGTCACAATTAGAACAAATTTTCAGCTAGGAAATTCACAGTTAGAACAGATTTTGTTTCCGCATGGAAAAAATGTGTCTGGGGAAATAGTGG